ATCTACCAAATTAAAACTGCAGTGTAAGTGTATCAGCTATCTGGAATAGCATTAAATTCAACACGAAATGTTATTTGCAATAGAACTTGGTTTTAAGTAATACTTTTATCACCATTTTAACTAGAATGGTTTATTTAGTCCATTATATAGCTAGGTTATGTGCGTGTAAGACAAAGTACCTAGCTGTTACTCGGTTGGCTATGTAAGACATATTATTCAGTGTAGTATATAGTTGGATTTGTTGGTAAGACATCATTCAGGTGTAGTATATAGTTGGATTTGTCGGTAAGACATTCATTCAGGTGTAGTATATAGTTGGATTTGTCGGTAAGACATTATTCAGGTGTAGTATATAGTTGGATTTGTCGGTAAGACATTATTCAGGTGTAGTATAGTTGGATTTGTTGGTAAGACATCATTCAGGTGTAGTATATAGTTGGATTTGTCGGTAAGACATCATTCAGGTGTAGTATATAGTTGGATTTGTCGGTAAGACATTATTCAGGTGTAGTATATAGTTGGATTTGTCGGTAAGACATTATTCAGGTGTAGTATATAGTTGGATTTGTCGGTAAGACATTATTCAGTGTTGGATTTGTTGGTAAGACATTATTCAGTGTAGTACATAGTTGGATTTGTCGGTAAGACATTATTCAGTGTAGTATATAGTTGGATTTGTTGGTAAGACATTATTCAGGTGTAGTATATAGTTGGATTTGTCGGTAAGACATTATTCAGTGTTGGATTTGTTGGTAAGACATTATTCAGTGTAGTACATAGTTGGATTTGTTGGTAAGACATTATTCAGTGTAGTACATAGTTGGATTTGTCAGTAAGACATTATTCAGTGTAGTATATAGTTGGATTTGTCAGTAAGACATTATTCAGTGTAGTACATAGTTGGATTTGTCGGTAAGACATTATTCAGTGTAGTACATAGTTGGATTTGTCGGTAAGACATTATTTCATGTAGTACATAGTTGGATTTGTCGGTAAGACATTATTTCATGTAGTACATAGTTGGATTTGTCGGTAAGACATTATT